CATTTTAATTAAGGAGTAATGAAAAGTGTATTGATAATCTATTTTGCTCCAATATAGGCTTAACAGTGGTGGTGAAGAATATCCATATATTAGGATTTCAAGTTTACAGTTAAAAAGTTTCACAGATTTATATCAAGTATTATGTTAACAAAATGGTACATTATAGAAGTATTAACTGATGTCTTGGCAAGGAACACCCTCATCATAAATGCATTAACTGTTCCTTGCAGTCTCATTTAGTGAAGTGGCTTATGGGTTCTCTCTCATCCTGGCTCAAATTGTCCTTAGTGAAAATTTCTGTATTTGTCTGCCATGGATCCAAGTTCAAAGGCAAGGAGCAGAGCAATATCATCTAATCAGCTGTAATGGAAACTTGGCACAATGACAATAACCTTTTGCCCATTTGGCCCCATGTGTCGCTCGGAGAAACTATGTCCCAGGTACGTGTAAGACGGGGGGGTGTGTCATGTGATCACAGTGAAGTGGCCGCTGCATGTCTTCCACTTGACCAGCTCATGACATCTGTTCAAACACTTAGTCTATCTCAGGAGAAATTGAATGAAATAATCACTAGCTATTGTATTTATGTCAGCAAAACATTGGGTTCCTCTGCTGAAATCTCCTTTCAAAAAAATGAATTTGTCTGCACAGTCTGGATAGAAAAATTCAACTTGCAGCTGACCCAAGATAAACAAAACTCTTTTCAGACATGGTTTCATCCCTCTACATCCTCCGCTAACTCATGCTTCCTCTTTTGTTTATTTTTAGTCCTTTTTGACATCCATATTTTTGATGTCTATGCTGGTACTTTGAATGTGCACACAGGCTCACAGCTACCTCAGTGACAGACACAGGGAAGGCAGCTCAAAGAGCAGTGGAAAAAAGGACCAAAACAAAAACTGAGCTTGTGTTTATGAAGACAGTCTATTTTTTGGGTGTGTATAAGTTGTCTGTTTCCATTGTGGCACTTTCGGAGTAATTATCCATGAGGAAGAGGCTGTCCAAGTGCAGACAGCATATCTCCTGTAGACCAAAGATCCACCCGCCCTGTCCCACACACTGACAGGTCATGAGCAATATTGTGCTTATGTTACCAAATGTTGAAAATACCAGGAAGAACAAAATTGACTGAGACAATAGTCCTTACTGTTTCATTTGTATAGTGGTGCTGAAAGATGTGTTATTTTTAGTATCCTTAAAGCTATATCAAGATAGTGGTAGTGGAAAACAAAAAGTGTGTGGGAGTAGTTTGACTGCTAAAATAAATATAAATAAAGTTTCTGTTTGGGCCACTGTGTCATAAGAATTCCACCGACGTATGAACACAGCTAAAAATAAACTGAATGCTACCAAAACAGCACACTGACCATAACCCCTGCACAGCAGATAAAAGTATATTATTATTACCTGAAAAAAGGTTTCAGTATCGTATTGTTTTGACTATGGCAAATCCAGAAATCACTTTGCCTTACGATAAATGATAAGTAATTTAACTATAAAAGTAAAGACATGCTTAAAGAAAGATATGGAAGAGAATATGCCACCTGTTTGTCACCATAGATATGGTTATGCATTCCTTGGAAATGTTTCACAATATGGCATTAAACTTATTTATCTTGCATTTATTTAATTAAAAGGTATTTTTAATGCTCAGACATATTAAATAACACACATTCTCTCTGATGTGCTTGCCTCTCTCCCTCTCTTCTCTGTAACCTGGCCTGGTGGTGTCACCTGTTTGTCTCCATAGAGATAGATAAGCCATCTGTGGAACATTCAAAACAATAATATCTACACAGACGCAAGCAGGTTGCTGAACCTCCACTAGAAAACTTACATAGAGTACTTTTTTAGCATTTCTACATATATTACAATAATATTCATGTTTTGATGAAGTATTATGAAGTATTTTTATGCACTGCAATAACAGAGAAAAGCAAAAGTATATGGCAATCTTTCCAAGTGCAATATAGCTATAATAGAAACTACCATTTCATATTTACTGCACTCCGTGTCTGACTCACAAAGATAGTTACCCAGGCAAAAATAATAAAAGTAGCATTATCTTTTGCTCCTTATGGTAAAAAACAAAGATGAGAATTGGGTGTGTGTGACTAACTTTGACTGGGAAATATCTAACCTCATACTTCTGCTTGCTCCACAGACCAGTGGTGACACAGAGCTCACAAAACTGCTCTTTCAGCTTCACAAAGAGCACAACATCTGCAATCTATTACATCCGCACCCTCTAACACAACCCAGTAATGACCAATTTTCTCTTTTAATGCTGTTTTCTCTTTTGGCAGAACTCTCCGAAACTATAGATGCATGGTAAAGAAAAGAGGATTGTTTTAAAGTTTTGGAAGCTGTTGCTGACTGATGATGCTTTGGATAGTAGCCAGTCCCTTACGCACAAACTGTCATTATAGACCTGTCACAGTTTTCAGAGAGCCAGTCTGATGTCACTTCCCATTTCCCCATGTACTGTTTTGATGTGGGCACTTTGATGGTGGACACTGGGGTGAGGAAATACCCCGCTGGGGTGGCTACAGGCCGGGACACAGGGGAATGAGCTGTTAATGAGCAGAAAAGCAGGAGGATGTTGTGGTCACTGTGGGCACATCCACAAGGGTTGAGCTTCTCATCATTTTTGGCTTCTGTAATACAAGATAAAATGTTTTTGCTTCAATAGATTTGCATTAGTACTGTTTTATTGGTTGGCCTTATCTTGTCTTGTGTCTCTCTTTGATGGGTACTAAAATTTTAAGCCTCATTAGCCCATATATCTACCCATGTGTTTGGTATTGAAAAGGGATATATTTATAAAAGTTTTATATATATTTAGACATTGACCCAATTTTGGCCCAATTTTGGCCCAATTTTGCCCACAAACATGAGGGATGCCATTTAAATCCTGAAAACTGAGTGCACTGCCATTGTGTCCTTAGGTAAGCTCCACACAGCTTACCTAAGTATGAACATGGTACAGGAGTGAAGCATTATCAGCACCTAGGGTGGGGAGTGAGGTAATGGCTCTAATAATTTGATAAGGGCAAGGCACCCTGCTGCATTATTATTATTTAATCTAGCCCTTGCATAAAATAGTCTGGACATCTCTCCCTTCTTAGTTGAACTATAACTAATCTGGCTCATGACCTTATACCTCATAACATACTACACAATCAATATTGAGGGAGTGTTTGAGCACCCAAGGAGCAATGGAATTCAGCAACAATAAAGATGTCAGCGATGGCCCTGTAATTAAGTGTAAAGAGGGAACTCCCAGCAAACACACCTGCTATAACGAACAATCCCAGTGCTGTCTCTCACATGGCGGCCATGAGAGATGGACCAGCTAAATGAAAACAGGTGGAGAACAACTTGGAAAAATGCCACAGGTGAAGGTTTAGCTTAAAACAACAGTCCCTTTCAAACATGTCTGGGAATATCCTACTTCAAAAACAGCATTTTGTTTAACAGTTTACAGTAATATCTGTAATCCCTCAGTTAATTCTGTCAACTGACTCAAATTCATTCCTGAACTTTTGTCCAGTTGACAGAATAAAATTTTCTCTTGAAAAGGTTTACTGTAAGATTATTCACATTTAGGGGCATGGGTGACTGGAGCCTATCCCCATAACTATGGGCCAGCGGTGGGGCACAACCTGTCACAAAGCAGGTAGTTAGTTACAATTAATATAATTGAAAATAAATGATTTTTTTATTATATTGCACTTGACACAAAGCTTTTCAAAACACAAAGGAAGTTGATTTTATTCCTGTGAAACATAGTGGGTGGCTTTCCCAAGAGCACAACAACAGAATAGAGTGGAAATGGAATCATAAAACTCCCTTCAATAAAATGCAATAAGATCACCTGAGCCACTGACTGTCCCACACCACTGTATATTATTTTTAATGTTTGGATAAGTTGGATTTACCCATTTGGGTGATCTTTGGTCTCAGTTGGTGTCAGTTTGTGCACTGCCATATACAGAAGGTTGTGCTTGATCACAGCTATAACTTTTAAAAAAACATATGAACAAAACAAGTTTCCCACACAGATGTGTCACATTCGGATGGTGGCTCTGGTGTCCTCTGTCACATTCCCGTAACCCTCACAGAGGGGCTGTGTGTGGGAGTGATTTTCACACCAAAGCACAAAGCTGTGCTGGAGGCCCAGAGCCCAAACTGAAACATGTCTGACTCATGCTTAGGGGGGAAAGGGCTGAGTAATCAAAATAATAAGCACTAAGTCTCGACAGCCGCCTCAGCCAAAGTACAGTAACAGTAACTCTCTGAGATCACTCGGCGATACAGCAAATCCTCAATCAGCTGCTGCACACACTATATGTGGCCTGATTGTATCCGTCTCTCATCTTGTAATTGCCCACAGTTTAGTCAGGCTTTTACATTGCTAAGCTCTCTAATTGGCTAGTGAAGTTTGTTGTCAGCCTGGCGCGTGCCCTTTTCTGATAACAGCAATATGGAGATTAGTTGTTGTTGTCTCTGTTTGTGGATTTGATACAGAAAATGCATTTCAAATACATGGACAAGAAAAAAAAACACACACATTTAAATGAATGGATTCTCATTTGCTATCACCATTATGTAATAATTTCAGGTTAAAATCCCTTGTTTGAAGGGGACATATGTGAAATGGACATTTATGAGCTTTGGACCATTCTGAAGCTATGTTCCCTCATCTTATTCACAGTGGTATTTTATTTGAGAGAGGTGGTGAACTGGTGCAGTGGCAACAACTCGGAGTTCAATGGCCTGAAAACAGTGGAGATGATCATACTTCTGCAAAGTCACAGTTCCCCTGTGCTCCCCTCGCCCTGACTGACACCCCCCCATCACCTCCTTCCTTCCGCTTCTTCGGCACCACCGTTACCCAGGACCTCAAGAGGGAGTTCGCCGTCAGCTCTGTCATGTAGAAGGCGAAGCAGAAGATGTAATTTCTGCAGCATCTGCTGAAAGTCAAGCTGCAAACCCAGATGATGGTGCAGTTCTACACGACCATCACTGAGTCCATCCTCATTTCCTCCATCAAACTGTGGTACGCTAGGGCCATTGCCAGGGACAAACACAGGCTGCACGGAGCATTGTGCACTTCGCTGAGAAGGTCATTAGTGGTCTCTTCAAGACCAGGACCTGTATGTCTCTAGGACTTCTGGAAAAGCAGGTCAGATCACAGCTGACCCTTCTCACTTTGACTGACTATATGAGCCACTGTCCTTGGGCAGAAGGCTATGGTTCATTCAGACCAGAACCTCTCACCACAAGAACCGTTTCTACTCTAACACCTGTCACTTTATAACACCAGTTACTAACCCTTTAAACAACTGTAATTAACCTACTTGAACTGTTTGTCTGCCCATACTGCATATTTCGTATTTGTTTATTATAATGCATGGCCATAATTTTTATTTTATCCTGGTTTATACTATTATGCTTTATTTTATGTCCGTAACGCTGAAGCAAGTTTCTAGTTGAATGAATAAGCAAATGAGTGAATATTGTTCACTGACAGTGGCAATAAAACTGATTCTGATTAATTCCTCTCTGTGAGTAATGCTGTATTCGAGGCATATGTTCTCAGAATGTCTGTTTTCACTTCTACCACCCACATATCTGTATTCATTATGATTATTAAGAAATGCTCATACATTTAAAAATGTCATGAAGCAGTTTTTAACAATAAATCAAAATACATTGCTTGCTTGCTCCAGTGAACTATGAAGTGCCAGGCCCTATTAGTTCTGCAACTTTAAACAGGAAGACAATGGAGCTGTTTGTACTTATTAGTCATTTTAGATCAATATTGGAATTTGCAATGAACAGATTATAAAATAAGGATCTGCATATGTTATAGTTTAATGCAAAGAAAAAGAGCTAAAGATATCTTCATTAATTTTGTCACGTTCAGCTCTGTCCCTGCTGCTGCGTGTGTGTCCTGCTGGCAGAGGGTGGTCAGGGGCGTGTCCCAGTCATCTATGACCTCATCCAAAGGAAAAATCCCCCTGCCGTCTCTGCTTCACTCCTGCCTCCTCCCACAGTGTTTCCCATTTGCAGCGCTCGGGGTGGCGGGGGAGGTCCCTCTGAGGTCACCCACTCCACTATTAGGTTCTGGGATATGAGGTTTTATGGGAAATGTAAAATCTCAACACTAAATGAGATTATTAATTATGAGGATGAATTATAAGAGTTAGAAGAGGGAAAGGCATTGCTTCATTCAATGTTTACAGGCAAATATTTCCATCAAGTCTTGGGCACATGTTAGGATACACCCTGGAAATAAAGCCAGTAAAAGCTAAGTTTTTAAACTTAAATCCTGAAAACATGTAGCCAAGGTTTTATGGTTTTTACCAAAGCAAGTCAAATATTGATACTTTCCAGGTGTTGCCAACAACAGTCCATGGGATGTGATTCTAACTGTAGGCTCTGCTCTGTGTGAAGCTCTGGTGCTCTAATTAGACTTTAATCTGAGTTTTTTTAAATATTTTAATACAATTTGACCCCCAAAAAACTGACTAAAATAACATTACAGTTACAAGCTAGCTACTATTAGCTAACTGTTTTTCACTTAGTCACTCTCATCCTTTTGTTGAAAATCAAAGTCAGAACCATAAATGCTCGTAATGATCACAGGATGCTGAAAATGTGTTGTTTAAATAAATGTTTTCTGATTATTTTGGAACTTTTTGGTTGTGTTTGCTGATGTGTGCATTGTGCATGCACTGTGTAGCATTTGGCTACAGTCAAATGAAGCTCACAAGGCTAGCAGGTACCGGGATCATGTAAACCAGGTTAATATGAACATGTTAACACTAAAATGACAAGTTTGACACCAGCAGTTACATAAAGAGGGGCAACAGTTTGTGAATCAGAGTCGATGAAGCCTGAAGTGTGCCCCTGCTCACTTCTTATTTGGAATACGATGGCTAGCGGGCTCGCTATGTCCATTTATATATACAGTTAATGGTAACAGTGCATGTGATTCAATTTGAGCAGTAACATCTGTGAATGACAGATAGAAAACCTTAATGTCATAATGTAAAGTTCCATGTAAAGCAATAACATCTTCATGGAGAGAAGAACGTGGCATGTCAGTAAAGATACATACTGTTCCTTTAAATTCCAAAACACTAATTTAACTATACCAATAGACCAATTATTACACAAATATGGCTGCTTATTCAGGTTTAGGACCAACACAAGGAGTTAACTGGATTTGACCTCTGGTGCCACAACACTACACAACTGTAAAATTCCTGTTGTTTTGTCATTATCAACTGATTTCTCCATACAGGAAGTCTGGGTTAAATCTTGCCTAACCATGTCATGATTTCCTCATTGTTTTACCACAGGGGTCGGTATAGGGAAGGGCTTTGAACACCACCTAACCTCAGGAAAAATACAGGACCAGTAGCCCCCTTTTTGTAGTTATATGAGCCTACTGCCGTCTGCCCGCACATCCGCCAAGACTGCCTTTGTCACAAGCCAACACGTGCGCCTCTGATCTACGCAAACCAATATTAGCTGTTTCTTTCTGCTTTCAACTACACACTTGTAATGGGAGGAGTTTTTAAAGAAGCATGGGGCAGAAAAAACAGATGAGTCAGGCATGCTGTCATTGCCTCTTCCTGTCTGTTTTTGTTGAGGGATTTGCATTGACTGTGTGGTAGACGTGATAGATTTTAAACTTTTTTTTTGCTTTCATTTCTTTCTTTGTTCTAAATTTGTCGACTTTCAACAGAAGCTAATTTCTCCTTTCTTTGTAAATGTTGGTCTCCTCTCACTTCTCCTCTTACCCAGCAGGTAACGTGATGCCACGGTCAGCCTGTATGGGCCTAAATAGACCTTAGTGAGAATTTAATAGTGTGGCTCTGATACATAACAAGTGTGTGTCCAACAGAGTGACATCAGCAGTGGGGAATCTGCTGCTGGGATCCCTGCCCTGCTTTGGTGGCACTGCTTGGTCAATGTTCAACACACTATATTGAGATAAACATAAAGTGTCTAATTTTAGCACATAGTAGAAACATATCAGTTATTTAATGTAACTTATTGCCTATAGGTTTCCCTCAACATTTGGCATTTCTTGTCTTGAGCAAGACAATTCACACATGGCACTCAGTCTAGTCTAGTCAATCACAGTATGTTGAGGATCATCTGAGATTAAAATGTGCAAAACGTTTGATTAGTGAATATATTGTAAAAAACACCTCAAGTGTTAAGCATAACATACATCTTCCTCTCTCACCATCTGGATGTAATTGCTATACTCATCTATTTCCTTTCAGCATTCAATTGTTGACATGGTCATTTTTGAGATGAGTTCACAGATCACAAGTGCTCTTCTGGGAGTTGACAATTGCCAAAAAACTTGCTCTTATTACTTAATCACTTCTGGGATTCGTAGCAAACATCCGATTCACTTTGTTTGGACCACACGTGTGAGATCTAAAAGGAAGAGTAGGAAAGGAGACAGGAAGAGGAAATTTAGGTACGGATGTAGAGTAAGTGGACAGGAATAGCCAATAAAGCCCACTTGAAGCTGAGAGGCAATTTCAAATATAATCATAATATAATTATCAAGTTAATATTGCCTGAAATATAACAAAACCTTCGTCCTGTGATGGTAAATACATCTTGCATATATAAATCAACCAAAAACAAGTTACATTTTAAAGACTTATTCTTGAACCTTTTCAACCGGTTTCCACGTCTATTGATTTTTTTTAGAGCCACTCATCACAAATAGTTTTTCTCCAGTTTATACTTAAAAGGAAAGTAGAAATATTCTACTTTTTACTATTGAAGACAAAACAGTGCAAACAACAATGCACTGCTAAAAAACAGTTAATCAAATGCTATTAGAATGAGAGGAAAATTAAAGGGAGATAAATTAATCATTAATCATAAATAATCATGTATTCTGGTTGATGAAATATCCGGTTGATGTGTGATTATATTCCCAACTGTGGCTGTACGCACATCCATATCAGAATGGAAACTACCCATTGTTGCTCCTCAGCGGGACAGGAAGCACCTTTCACAACAGCCACAAGCTCCTCAAACTCATTCAGATGTCTACCACTCTGAAGACAGCGGAACTGATGCAAAGAGGCCAGTGTTAAATCAAAATTAATATTAATTTAGTCAACATTTTACACATTCAAAGCTGTAACCATCACCAGACAACCAAGTGGGTGAAGTAAAGCGACTGACTTGCCTATGAACACAACAGCAATAGCTCTAAAACAAGTATGTAACAATCAGCCTCCCTAAAAAATTTAAAAATATCATCATTCACCCAGGATGATAAGGCTAATGTGTTGAAAGGAGTAGGCATAACTAGTTTGAGTAGGTTATTGGGTATATGGGTGTTAATACTTCTTGTACATAAATGGATCAAAAAAACATCTTAATTGTTAATTTAGTTGCTTATGCCATGATTTAACCCTTGCGCTGAACATGGATGAATGTCTAAAATAGTGACTGGGACACAAGATTCTTTGGTGCTTTCTCCTACCCTAAAAGGTAAACAAGGAGCACTATTTCTCCTCCATCAGAACACTGTGCGCTGACTCCTGTCCAGCAGGACATTGGGGTAGAGGAGTGTCTTCTCTCAGTACACTTTCTGTTTGATGGCCAGCACAGCACCGGGAATAGCAGCTATGTGAGCATGACTGCACAGCCCTATTTCTGTGTGTGCCCAGACTTGACAT